ATGTCACACAAAATCTCGTCAAAGGAAATTCTAAACAAAGAAAATTCAGTGAAAAAATTATCTCTAGCAGAAATATTTTCAACTGCACAGACTTTAATCATTACAGCAATTTCCTCTGTGGGAAATCAATCATTTTTCAAAATCAGTCACTTTGCGCGGTAAGTGCTAATCCTTACATTTAAATATGAAAGGAGTTGTGCTAATAACCCTGTAATTAAAATTCAGTTGAACATCAACGGTGTTTTGTCTATGAAGAGTTATTGAAAACGCACTTTCTGTCAAATTCATTTCCTCTGACGGAAAGAGTATGCAATCCAGTATTCAAGGTAAAAAGGGTCATTGAACACTTTGTAAGTAAAATGCCAGTAAAATGAATGGTTTTCATGTCCAGTTTTCATCTAGAAATGCAAATGCCATAATTAACATAATCAAATGCGTTTTAAAAATAATGGAGTCTCCCTGGTTTTAAAAGATGTATGTCCTCAGTTTCAACCAAAAGTACAGCTACATAATTTTAATTTATAACGAGGCTCTGGTTTTGAAAGCGCCGTATTTTGGAATTTCACCATTAACTGAAGTAACTTGAAATTCAAACAGTTGTGTTTTAGCCTCGCGTTAATTTCAAATTGCGATCTGAATTTCCTATACACTAATTTTTGGCAAAATAACAAAAAAAAAGGAGACACGTTTTTTTACATGTTTGTTTTCTGTGTTTGACATAATTTTAAAAATCGTCATGTTTTTTTCTTTTCGTTCTTGGAGGAATTTTTGAAGTCCCCACATGTTGCGCAATCTAACTCAGTAGTTTCTGTTTTGATCAGTTCTGTGTGTTCCTGTTCTCATTAACTGAAAGAACAGCAGTTTCTTGCGCGATGTGCTTTAATTTCCGCTATCGGATAATTAATTTCTCATTAGCATTCAGTTTCTCTTCCATGTGTCAATTTGAAATATGTTAATAAAGACCAGCGTTGATCCACCCCCTGCCCCCCTCTAACGCACGCAATGAATTTCACTTCGTCGCCTACAAAAACCTTAAAAGACTTAAAGTACCACAGTACGTCACGGTTTGCGCATCATAAAACATTTAGCCGAATGTATTCAGATTCGTCGTTTGTAATCCGTTCTAAACTTCTCCGTCCTTTACCATCCTTGTTCCAGTATGGTTTATTTGTTGTCTCTCTGGTATTATTCTCTCTTAGTAAACTGTTATTTTTCACGGTAATTTTGCACTTGGCCAACATAACTCAAAGCACTGTGATTGAGCTCCTTTAAGGTCGGTGTAGTCCGGCTACCGATCGTTACGATCGTGACAGAAAGCGTTGAGCGATCCTTACGACTATCGGTTTTTATACGATGGCTACGGTCGCTGCTATCGTGGACTTAAAACGTAATTCTATCTTAGCGGTCGTTTTGGCAACGATCGGTGAGATAGCTGGCGAGTGGTTTTCATATGACGGCGACAGTCACAGAATTTTTTTTATGGCGTTCGTAGCGATCACTTGGAAACCAACCTTTAGAAATTGCCGTTGGGCAGTTTACACTTGGGAACTTTAAAGAGGATTAATTTAAAGCTGACATCCTGCAAAATGCGGGAAAACATTTTGCAAAGTACACAAAAAGAACAAAGATAATTGAAATCAGGACAACTTTATAAAGTTCTTTTTCTCTGCAAAACAGCGTAAACTATTTCAAATTCTACAATTTACACTGACGTAATTAATCTCTTCAGTTTAAAAAAAAACCGTAATCTATTTTATTTTTGACGGCCTAGAATACGTTCTAATGATGGCCATAAATTATTTCCGATACTTGCGCAGCGGGAAAGTAAAAGAAAACAAGAAATCAGTTGCATTGACACAAAACGTTTTCAAAGAAATGTGCCTGTAACTGCTATGTGATAATAGTTAATGCAAAGAATTTTTATCAACACAAAAGACTTAGCTTGGAGCAAATTCCACTCACGCCAATTTCGAAGAGTACGTATTAATGCGAACATAATTGCTTTAGGTAAATTTTCCATAACTATATCCTCTTTCTGTAAGCTCCTTATCGATATGGAATTAAACTGAAATGCTTGATGTGGCCAAAAGCGTGTATTAACGAATGTTTGAGAAAACCTACCCATAAAAAACTTAATGTAATGTTAGAACTAATAATTAGCGTAAATTGCAGTTCACACGAGTTTCTATGGTCACGAAGAAGTTGCTGGAGGCAATTTGCTTTGTAAAATTGATGAAAACGCGCTCGTAGTTTTTATGCTACTTTTGCATCATTGATGTCCAGAGAAAGACGCAATTTGGTCTGTGTACAATTTTTCTCCAGTCGACGTCAGAAAAATTAAAAACACACACACACACACCAAACAGTGAGCCATCTTTAGCATTGAAGTTTCAGAAGTACATAATTTTACAACCTTAGAATTCGGCGACAGCAAAGACAGAAAACCGTAACCAGAATTAGCCTGTTGAACAATAACAGCGACATGTCTGTACAATCTTTTAAAAAAATCTTGTGATATTTAGTCTAAAGAGTTTATTAAAATGCGGTAAACCAAAAGATATCGTCTGTTTGTTCCTATAGTCACTCGTTAAAGTATATGATTGGTTCGGTGTCATGTTCCTATTTGGAACTCAAAAGAGCGAGAATTCCTTGCATAAAGGAAATAGGATCACATACCAGACTTTAAATTATTATCCCTACCTTGTCGCCCAGTTGGGGTGCCTGCATGAGACTTTCAATGACTGGTATTTTAAGATACGACGCCAAATTTCCCACAAACTGCGTGAAGTGTTCCCTCCTCGTCTGCAGTACAATCACTGTCACGTTATTTTCCACGATGTCGGAGCAGAGCGTTTCCGAAATCTCGTCAAATGACAATCCGTTTAGAGGAATTGTTTTTATGTGCAGCGATATATTACTCAAAGTGGCTGCGCGGTGAAAGTTCGCGATATTAGGTCCGTAATTTTCGAGTGATGTTTCACTGGGCTTCCAGCGATCCACGAAAATGCCAACTTTAACATTTGTAAAACGCGTCGAGCCCTCGATAATCGAAAATAGGCTAAATGTGTAGTAAAGGAGAAGAATCCCACTGGATGTTCCTTTGTGCTGGATAAGTTTCATCGCGGCTAGATCTTGAGCTACAAACGGCTGCACTGACTAGAACATGTCACATTAGATTGTTCATAGTTCTGCAGCGCATGCTCGCAGAAAATCGTCGTCTTACCCTGAAATTGAGCTGCATTGTAGCTTTAATGTGTCGCCGCTCCACGTATCTACAGGCTGTGCAGAGCAGCGAACTTATTTAGCAGGAGATCCCTGAATAAAAACGAAAATCGTGACAAGAAGAAGAGTTAGTACCATTACAGATGCAGAATTTTCTTAATTTTAGCGCAGAAAGAATCGAATTGATGCTATGAATATAAATCGAGGATTAAAAAAAATTGTGTGTATTTTGAGAAAACTTCAACGAATTAAAGATTACAGCGAGTAAGATATGATTTTTATTCACCTCGAATATGTTTTACGTATCGCAAGCCATATCAAAGTTGAACAAAAGTTATCATCACAGTTGAAATGGCGAGCTCACGTAATGAAAAATTCATATCGCGACCTGCAAGTCAACTGGAGGGCCTTTCAAAATGGAAAAAAAGAGCAAATATTTATAAATTAAACACGGTACCTAGAGTAATATTCTTTCGGCATCTTTTTTTGGTGGAGAAAAGCATATTACTCAAAGATTAAGTGCTGTTCTTTTTTCTTTGTTCTGCGTTCTAAACATTTTGGCTTTAATTTAAAATTAGCAGGAACCGCGGTCAAATATTGAATACCAAGGTAACCAAAGATCTCTGACTTTGTTTATAAAGCTTATCCCTTGTAGAGATCTTCACTAAAGTACCAGCTCTGGTGAGAAGTGTTTACTTTAAGTTTTGTTCGTCCGCAGCGGGCAATATCAATTACTTTTCGTTCAAAATTAAAGCAGTTTAGCTCGAAAAGTAACGCGTCTTGTATCGTTTGCAATTAAGCGATACGCTCTTAAAAGTGGTATTTTCAAGGATAGTTTGAGCGGTTTCTTGTCATAATTTCAAAACGTGAAAAGCACTTCATTACGTTTTCAAAACTCTCCCACTGAGTGATATGAGAAATTTCTATTGATTAGTGTGCTCCAGCGAAACGTATTTCCAAAGTCTAGTCGATTCCCTCTTGCCCTGCAATTTCAAAATCAACACAATAGTTTTGACGAATTCACTAATTGGGATTCTGTAAATGACAGATTTTTGGCGTAGGTTCCGTCCACTGAAAGCATAAAAGCCTGTTAAACTACATATCTGACAACGTATAAATCAAACTTCCTTCTTCAAACGTGCGCTCAAACAATAAATTTAAACCGTAAAAAAAATTATTACCCGGCATTCGACGAACAGCTAATGCTCGCGGTTTTACAGTTTGTTTCCTTGCTTTTGGCGATTTTTTTGCTCCTATACTTGAAATCCATCGGGTTGACTTTAAATACGCAAAAATTCTATGAATAGTGTTTTATTTTACGCGATCAAAATTAAATGTGACATGATGTAAAGTTTCAATTGGACGGGAAATTCGATTTCGTTTGAATAAATGAAGGACATGTTTATGTTTCGAATGAATTCACAAATGATTAATTAAATTTAAAATATTCCCGTGAATTGAAAGTACTGCGTCGAGTGGTTTTCCCGCGGTTTGTGGTATCAGCTGGCTAATTTAAAAACAAGATTTGACAAAGAACCCGTTTCTAATTTTTCGCTTTTTTTTGTTGTCATCCTTTATCCTAAAAATTGATTTTGTATTCTTTACGGTGATCTTGACTTGTTCCAGAAAGTGAGCTGAGTCTTGGAGGAGCTGAATTTACGCGAGGAATTAAGCCGCCAAAAACCAAATTCTCGGTTGGAAATCGGAAGAGCTTTCATTAATCATGGGAGGCCGGGTTTAGTTATTCGTGTTCTGATAATATGGGCTTGAAGAAAAAAAAGATATCTTAAACCCTGCTGAAGTTAAATACACACAAACGACGCCTGCTTAGAATGTTCGCCGGAGGTACTTCAAACCGATTCTTATTTAGTTTCTTGAGATCGTTAACCGGATCAATTCATCTTGCTTTCGTTAAATCACCTGCCAGTTCTGTGTACAAGCGCAAATAGAATTTAAACGAAAAGCTTCAGCTCTCCAAATCACATTCAACTTTTGCCAAGGACAATAAACTCACCTTACTTTTGTGTCATTCGTTTCGTCGAGTTAGGAAACGTTTGCACTCTCTCCACGGAGGCAGAGAGCGCTCCCAACAGTAAAGTTAAACAAAAAATTGGCTGAATCTGTCTCCAACGATTCGTAATTGAAAATTCATTAATTTGGGGGCGTAATATTCAAGTGTTAATTTGTTAAGTATCATAAGCTGGTAACGACGGGGTGAAATGTATCAGAAATCATTTTCTCGGATTCACACAGTTAGTCAGCTGTGAATGCAGCCACTGGTTCGGTTGTTTCAGCTTGTAATTTCCTGTCGAAAAAAATATCAGGCGTTCGCAAAAACCGACCCAACTGATGGATTTTCGGGTTGCCATGAATCAACGGGAGGATGCGCGGTAAAAACCCAATTGTATTCGCAGGGTAAGAAATTAAATTAAGTGACCCGAAATATTCTTTTGCCGGAATAAGTTTTAGTGGCCGGTGGCCCTTTGTACGGAATACAAGAGATTAAATAACCCAAAACAAATTATAATTCCAACCAAACACAACAAATGCGACGGCATATCTACTTTTTTCTGTGAGGTAGGTCAAATTATTTCCTTCTCTTCGTCATAACAACTGCGGTATAATTTGGGTAATTTAATGTTCATTTCCAAACAAAATAAAGGTCTTCAGACAGAAAGGAAAAACATGTTTGTAAATTGATATGTTTGCGTTCACGTTTGCGTGCGAACAGGTTTTGTCACATTGTTTATCACAGCTAATGTCAGCGGTCGCTTGTCGTACGGAAGCGTACAATAAAAGGCCGAAAGGTATTATGGGTGGTGGTAGTTCGCCGAGATTCAGCGAAGTTCGCAGTACTTTCTGTCAGGAGCCCTGTTTCTGTGAAATATTTCTGAGTGGTATTACGTATGCCATAACTGAATTTTCCCACGAGCAAACTGATTTATAAAATACCCATAGAACTAGCATCTCAAAACGCACAACGAAAAACTCGCAAATTACAGATTCCTCTTTTAAGTCTTCACAAAAACGCAACTGGAATT